TGTTGACTGTTCAGGGGGGGGGGGGGGGCTAGACATTTTAATTATGAATCAATGTTTTTAAAAATGTGTATAAACAATAAAAGAATTGTTTTTTTCATTAATTTGAACAATTGAAAATAATAGAAAACACCAACTTTGAAATAAATTCAAGATTTATGACATCTTTCACTTACTTATAGGCTTCCTAATATGGGTACAGTCCACTAATTGTTTTCCCATAGGCGACAATGTTAACGTTTCTTCTCATAGCGATGTCCCTAATTTTCGTTCAGAAGTGAGTGACCCCTCAAGTCAAAGCACATCAACTTGTCTTTCCTTGGTTAAAATCTCGAGGTGGCATGTCAGATTCGTTTTCCTGCAAAATGCGTCTGTCTGCGGGAACCTCTAAAAATGAAAGTGAAAGTAGGGGAATTTCAGAATTATCACTGGCGTTATAATACACAAAATAATTCAGCTGATCTTCTTGATAAATTACATTTTCAAAGCTTTTTTGGTAGGAAAGATACTCTTTATCAACAAGTGTGAGGCTCAGTTCAGTACATCTGCCCAATTTTTTTTATGCAAGTCTGCAAATTAAGGAACTTGTAATTTTTTCTGCACTACTTTCTTCTCCTACCGATTCTAAAAATAATTAGTGGGATGTACCCAGATAGCTAGCCAGACAGACAAACGAACGGACGACGGGCATCTTACTATCGCATAAGCTCTTCTGGTCTTGGTAGAGCTAATCAAACTTGATATATGGTTTGTCACTTATTAGTCAGAATATAATCTAACTGTGCCTCGGAACATACCTTCACCACAGTTAGAATGCCTCCCATACCCTAGTAGTGAAGCAAAAAAAAAAAAAAAAAAAAAAAAAAAATTGCAGAATGAGAATCGCTCAAAAACGATTTTTAAGAATACAAAAGGATTTGCACTTAAAATAACTTTTAAATTGATTTCTTACATGTAGCTTGTCTATCCATCATGCAGAAAAAATAGTTATTTTGAAAGAATTTTTTATTTTGCTGCAAAAATTATGACCAAGTTAAAAGTGCTTGTTATTAAAATGTTGAGGTTGTGCATACCTTTAACCTAAAAAAATATTCCTCATATAAAGACAAAAATCAACTCATCTTTTCAACCCTTTTCCTTGCTTGATATTTACCATGTTGAAATTCGTTTTTTTTTTTTTTTAAAAAATGCAATTAATTTCTCAATAATTCATAATCATCTTCCCTTGGAAGAGGGCGTGACACTTTATTTTAAAAAAAACTAGAATCTCCTTCACCCAAGGCAAGGTTGATTTAAATTGGCCCAGTTTTTCTTGAGAAGATGAAAACGTGAAAACTTTAAGACAACGGCGAATTTAGACAACGGTCAAATTTTGATCAAAAAAAGCTCACTTCAGCCTTCGATAGGTTCAGGTGAGCTTTGAACTTCATTCATATAATGTTAGGGCTGAATCTGAAATTTTACCTAACCAATATTCAGTAGACACGTTCCCAAACCCTTGCTGATATTCTGTCCAGTTCCTTGAAAAAGACACAGATCCATCAATCCTCTTTTGAAAAACCTGCACAAAATATATTCACTTTTATATTGTTGACCAGCTGTTCATTCAATATTTATACAAAATTGATCTTTTAATTTGTTTAAATAGTTTGTACAACTATTCTTTTCAGTTGAAGCACTTACATAACCAAGATGATATTCTGGCCTGTTCTTTCATGGAAAAAAATCAATCAATCCTCTTATAAGTATAATTTTTTTCTTTTTAATTCCATATTCTTTGTTAATCATCTGTATCTGATTAACATACATGTAAATTTACCTGAGACAAAGTATAACGATGGAAAATATGCTTAGATAATTGGAGACAATTAGATTTTTTCTATATTAAGGTTAAATAAATATCTTAAATTTTATGATTAGAAAACATGCTGAGTGGATTTATTTCTATATAAATAAATATTTGAAATTATTGTTTTACACACCGTCCACCCTCCTCCCATTGTGACCATATCACACAGTACTTCTTTATATGTAGAGTTGTTCCACGGATGGATCTGGTAAATACCCGTTCTTTTGTTTCCCTTTTTCAAAATTTCCAGACAGTCCATAACAGCAGCTTCCAGAAAATAAAAAAAAAATAATTTAAGAAATTCGAGGGTCATTCAAAACTCAGAATGACGCTATAGACGTCACATAGTTATGAAATTTCACAGAAATATGTATTTTAAAGATAAAGTTTGGGCAACATTTTTGTATTTAAAAAAAATCCTACTAAAATTATCGATGTGCTGATATGGATGATGGAGAGGTAAGAAACACAACGAAAAATTGAAACAAGCACGCGGGATCCAAAATTGAACTCATTAATTTTCTATAATTCGCAATATTTTTCGAAAAATTTCTGAAATGTTTCTTTATGTTGTTCAATTATTAAGTATTTAGATTTCTGACATAATATTTGAAGAACTAACAGAATAAAGTGATTTTTCTCCGATGCGATTCCTTTGAAAACGGTTGTTAAAATTACGTCTCCAGAATTGACAGGGCACCACATTTTTGTTAAATTATGTGTAATGCTCGAGATATCGCCACCACATATTCAAAATTGGAATTTTAGACTATTTTTTCTGTGCAACAGTTCCGCGTAATTTTTGAACGGCCCTCGTAATTAAATACTGAAAATCATCTTAACCCTCGCTCTTTCCCGTGATCAACTTAAGGACAGTTGAAGTATGTTCTGGTAATGTCAACTTTATACCCTTATATCTGCTGAAGAAGTGAAAGCTACGTGTATTAGATAAATATAATTTCTTTTTTTCTAAATCTGTAACCTAATGAATTGTCACAAATGAAATACCTATTATGTTATTCTAGCTTGTTCATGATTTTTGTACAGTACAGTAGCATGCTGACATAGATTACCGAGGTACGTACATATGTTACAAAATTGTCCTATCCACTTTTCAGAACATCCACTAGGACATCTGCCATTGATAGCATCACATGTGGTTTCATTTTTACAATATCCACATTTTTTAGTACAGGATTCTCCAAAATATCCACGCGGACATGCTGCAAAATCATATATATATATTTTGCAATGATAAAAATTGAACACTTGTGTTTGAATTTAAACATTGACCTTAAACAATTTTTAAAATAACAAAATGAAATTCGTACGTGAACTGCATGTAGCCCCAATCCAACCAGGTGAACAGCCATTGGGACAGGTTCCGTTTATAAAATCACACGTCATTCCGTCTTTACAATGTCCACAGTCACTGTCACATCTCATTCCAAATTTACCCGATGTGCAATCTGGAGAAAGTAGAAATGTACTTTATTGATCAATATTATTACGGCGCCGCTGGAGGGCCAGGTAAAAAAAATATTTTTATTTGTTCGGACAAATTAGAAATTCGTTCGGACGAATTGGTTATTTGTTCGGACGAATTAGATATTTGTTCGGACAAATAAGTTATTTGTTCGGACAAATTAGATATTCGTTCGGACAAATTAGATATTTGTTCGGACGAATTAGATATTCGTTCGGACAAATTAGAAATTCGTTCGGACGAATTAGTTATTCGTTCGGACGAATTAGATATTCGTTCGCACGAATTAGATATTCGTTCGGACAAATTAGAAATTCGTTCGGACGAATTAGTTATTTGTTCGGACGAATTAGATATTCGTTCGGACGAATTAGTTATTTGTTCGGACGAATTAGAAATTCGTTCGGACAAATTAGAAATTCGTTCGGACGAATTAGAAATTTGTTCGGACAAATAAGTTATCTGTTCGGACAAATTAGATATTTGTTCGGACAAATTAGAAATTCGTTCGTACGAATTAGAAATTTGTTCGGACAAATTAGTTATTTGTACGGACGAATTAGAAATTCGTTCGGACGAATTAGTTATTTGTTCGGACAAATTAGAGAAATTGTGAACAACTATCAGGACACCGCGAATAATGTGCGGTTTGCACCAAGACCTTTCATTTTATTTTGATTCTTTGCAAAATAACTTTAATGAACAACATTATCAATAAATATTTTGAAGATAAGTCGTTTTAATGTTGATCTCTTTCTTATGATTTTTATGTACATATTCACTACCGTGCAGTTATTAATCATGACGTGAATTTTTTTGAAATACATTTCTGATACATATGTCGCCGATTTGTAGCTGAAATATTGCCGATTCGGCGTAAAACATTCAATCAATCAATCTGGTACATATGCGGTGTATAAAATGATTAAAAGGTCCTCATTGAGTTTTTAATTAAATATTCCTGTTTGTGAATTAAGAAAACTTCACAAAAATGAACCTGTTCGTATTGATCCCAGGTTGTTCGTAAGACTCACGAGTCGGTGAATTGCGAGGTCAACCGATCAATCTGGTATATTCCCTAGTCCATTCATTTTCAGAGCATAATTATAGCCCCCTCCCGTTATTGGAGAGGTACATGTAGTCGAACAAACTATTTAATTTCACTTTCAGCATTTCTTAATTTTGTTTATACGCTTTTACAGTTGAGTACCAGTTCGAAGGTTTGATAGGCCAATGACTCACATAGAAAGGGAAATTATGAAAGCAACCCCTTTTACGGGGAAAATAAATCATGAATGAATGTCAAAATATTTTCAAGTAACACCCCCCTCCTCCTCTATTTAAAAAACGATCGATTGTCTTAATCATTGAGAACCTTAACTTGCATTTAATTATGATGTGTTTTTAAATTTTACTGCACTTTCTAGGAACGTACATGTATTCATCTATTTTTTATCCTTTTCCCAGAAAGGGGCGTGTGTTTAATTTGGTCAATATTATACCTGCATGTTTTAATTCATGCACTTCTCTGATATTTAAATATAAAATAAATTTATATAGATACATAATTATAGCTTTTAACGATCTTAGAAAGAATCTTAATTGGAGATGGACTTATGAGATTCCCTCTTTTTGTTCCTTTATCACAAAATACTTAAATGTGGGAACAGCAGTATAGAAACAAATCTACAAGTAAACCCCACCTTAAAAAAATTAAGACCCTCGAATAAGACGCTCGATATTTTGAGTCCGAAGTTTATTCAATATAATACAATGCAGCCACGTATAGCATCGTTTTTTAAAGAGGGGGGGGGGCTGAGAAAAAAATAGCTACCTGAAAAGTTGACAAGCAAAAAAAAAGGGGGGGGGGGACACAGGAAAAGTTGCCCAAAGTTGACAGTCCTATTTCGTGAGGCGGGGGCTATTATTTCAAAGCCAATTTTTTCCCGTACCAATTGCCTGCAGTAGGAGTAAAATCTTAAGGAGTGGATCTCATCTTTTCAAAGAAGCGGTAACTGACCACTGGCACCCCAGTGTTAGTCAGGGATGGGAGTGAAAAGATGTTTGATAAGAAGTAACTGACCCTTTGAATTTACTAGTGGGCTCTCAGAAAATATACTTTCAGAATGGCAGACTTTAGGCCTATAATATATTATACCGGTATAGATCCATTATTTCCGAATGTTTACAATCAACATACCCGACTTTAATATCACATGTCTAGTTGCTACGTGTGTATGTCATGGTCCAAAGAGCTATTTATGTATTAAAAAAAATGAATCCTCCTGAAAAGACAAAGTGAATATCTCTCTTTACATGATAATTTGTGCAAACATCTAATTTGCCCGAACGAATTGCTAATTTGTCCGAACAAATATCTAATTTGTCCGAACAAATAACTTATTTGTCCAAACAAATTTCTAATTCGTCCGAACGAATTTCTAATTCGTCCGAACAAATAACTAATTCGTCCGAACGAATTTGTAATTCGTCCGAACGAATTTGTAATTCGTCCGAACGAATTTCTAATTTGTCCGAACGAATATCTAATTCGTCCGAACGAATTTCTAATTCGTCCGAACGAATTTCTAATTTGTCCGAACGAATTTCTAATTCGTCCGAACAAATAACTAATTCGTCCGAACGAATATCTAATTCGTCCGAACGAATTTCTAATTTGTCCGAACGAATTTCTAATTTGTCCGAACGAATATCTAATTCGTCCGAACAAATAACTAATTCGTCCGAACGAATATCTAATTCGTCCGAACGAATTTCTAATTTGTCCGAACGAATTTCTAATTTGTCCGAACGAATTTCTAATTTGTCCGAACAAATATCAAATTTGTCCGAACAAATATCTAATTCGTCCGAACAAATAATAATTCGTCCGAACGAATTTCTAATTTGTCCGAACAAATAAAAATATTTTTTTACCTGGCCCTCCAGCGGCGCCGTATATTATATATGTAGTACGCATTAAAATTTTTTACCGTTACTGATGAAATAAAATATCGGAACCTTATTGCTAATGTTAAAAAAATTCAATGATGTTTTTGATTAATAATTAAGTATTTTAGAACTTTTTTGATTGACTTTAGATCTATGCAAATTTATATGGAAACAGCAATAAATACGGTTAGATATTTGGTAAAATGAGCAAAATAAAAGTTTGATATTAAAAAAAAAGGTATTTGAAAAATAACATTTTAAATTGTAAATCAAGAAGGAAATATAAACGACATTATTGAATTAATTCTGATTTAGTGCTTGTCTAAAAAGATATACAGATGTAAAAGCCAAAGCCAAGTTTGAAAATACGAAAGAAAGACATAAGGTATTGATTAACATTGAATCGTAATTTATTTTTGAGTTATTTCTGCTTGAAAAGACGTATTCCCTTATCAACAAACAATTTTATCCTGCAACTACCCCCTGCATTGACCTAATAAAGGTAACCTAATAAACAAAAGCTTTATTCGCTCACTGCCCTAATAAAGCCTCGTGCATGTATTCCGACGTTCCAAAAATATTGTGACGTCATATATGTTGCAATGTATACGCCATGGCGTCAGCGTTTCAGCTGCAGAGATGTGCCTAAATCTATCGGAAACAGCTTGTTTTGGACGTTCAAATGTTAGAAATATGTTGCAGGATAAACAAAATAAATGATAACTGCCTTGAAATATAAGCGATATCTGGGCTCGGTTCGAAAACGTAAGAGGGCTCGGAAAGCCTCGCCCTATATATATCACGTTTACTTACCCTCGCCTAAATATCGCTTATATTTCAAGACAGTGATCATGTATTTCATATTTATCCTTACTATTTAAGGCCTTAACTGAGAGTTTTATAGAACGTATTGTTTTTCATATGTAAATGGTATATATCGTACTTTGTTTGCATAAACTTCCTGTCCACCCTGCTGAGCAACCATGGGTACAAGTGCCGTCAATAGAATTACATGTTCCCCCGTTTCTGCAATGACCGCAATTATAGCTACATTTGTTTCCAAACGTTCCTGCTGCACATGCTTGAAAATAAATTTAATACAGAAATTTTATGCTTACAATCAATAACAATTATTATTTTAGCGTTACAATTATAATTGTAACTAGATACGATCTCGTTGCGAGCAACGAGAGGTCTTTCGTCCGATTCAGGAAAAAAAACCTTGTAAAATCGAGTGGAAAAGTGATTCAATATTTTCTTCACAAGGAGGATTGAACCCAGGTCGCCAACGTGATTGTGCTTTTTTTCTCTCTTTTATCAACAACGCGCAAACCATTAAGCTATTTGGAGTACTGCTCTAAATATACTTGTGTATACTTTTGCAACAGTACATCTGTCTAAGAATTATAAAAGGCGGGCCAAATTTCATAATTTGGCGCCAAACGCCACGAGTAAATATTCGCGCCTTTTCTTTGGACTGATCTATTAAATAGGTGTGATAGCTTCAATGAAATTAAATAAATAAAACGCTCTTATCGCCTTTATTTTATTTCGACGTTCAGAAGGTATATTTAACACATTGTACACATTACATATCGTATCTAGCCCAGTTACACTAAAGCAGTGAAACGGAAATAAAGTTTTAAGATTGACACTGAATTACAACGTACTACTGCGTGAAAGTCCAAGTAGTTTTTTACATTTCATGTAACCTTATGTCAGAATGGTTTAATCAAACACTCAGCTGCCTCCATAAACCCCTACTCGCGAAATGGCGGAGTTGACAGAGACAGCCGCCATCCTGGCCACGCTTCAGATTTTCAAATATAAATATCTAGAGTTCAGATTAACCAATATTCAAACAACTTCTATAGTAAGCATCAATAGAAGGGTCTCTATTAATATTCCAAAAATAAATAAAAAAGTTAGAAAATACAATTTTTTCAACTCGCTTCTCCTAACGACAGGAAGTACTGACGACGAACAATAGGTCGCGTCCTGGATAATATATATCACGATCTATAATCCCTGAAAGTTTCATGTTGAAATCTTTTACCGTTATTGAATTTAATCGTGGACAAAATGTCATTTTAATTTCAGAAAATTGTCCTTAACTTGGCACCGGATAATAAATTCATGTTATAACACAGCTGTTCTGAAAATTTCATGTACATGTAATTTCATCCAGTAGTCTTCGAGAAATCGCGTGCACAAAATTAGAAAGTCAAAAAAATAAGAATAATAACTACAGCAAAGCTCGTTGCAAAGCAACGAGTAGGTCTTCCGTCGTGTTTGACCGAAAGTTACTTTTATTTTTTTTTTTACAAAAATGAGTGATAATGCCGAAAAATGGTTTAAATCCTCTGAATCAATGTTAATTTATGCAAAAATAAGCCAGTTTTTGCTACTTCCGGTTTGACCGGAAGTGATGACGACGGACGGAAAATTAATTTTTATGATCCCAGTGACCGATGTTACCCAAAATCTTGTAAAGAATAAAGGTTTTCTGACGACTTCCGGTTTGGCCGGAAGTGACGTCGTCCATCGTAATTTGACGACTCCAATAGATAAAGCTTGATATTTTGAACAACTTTGCTTCTTTGACGTATTGCACAAATTCTCAATACTTTTTGAGATATTAAAGAAAAAATTTTGACCCCGCTAGGCCCTTAATTTTAGGGGCCAGCCCTTTTTTCGAGATATCATTTGAAAGATCTTGGAATTCTACATTTCTTTTGTTATACATGTTTTTACAAAATATTTCTTGGTAAAAAGTTATCGTTGAAAAGGTGTGAAAATTTTTGAAATTCACGAAAGGACTATTTAAGGGCATTAACGAACTTCCGTACACAGCAATTTAGGTGAATATGAAATGCGTTCCGCACAACTACATTTATTGCTCTATTATTACTGAAAATCTCAAGTTTCTATCTTAAGCCGTTTTTGAGAAAACTCGCGGACAAACTAACCCTCTTAAATTCAATAAAATGCAAAAATCTCGGAACCGGAAGTGACGTCATCAAAATAAAATATATGTCTAGATTTTTTCATGTTCCATCAGCCCTGAAAGTTTCATGAAAATCGAGCAAGCCGTTTCCGAGAACTCGCATGCACAAAATCGGTAAGAAAAAAAAGAAAAACTGTGGAAAAGAAACCTAAGAATAACACAAAGGTCTTCCGTTGGAAACGGAATACCTTAACTAGATACGATCTCGTTGCGAGCTACGAGAGGTCTTCCGTCCGATTCAGGAAAATATCCCCGTATCCCCGAGCCTGATTGAACCTGGTTGACCAGGTGAAAATTCAATAAACTATCCATTACGCTACTTGGAGCTCTGCTCTAACTTTACTTGTTTATACTTCTACAACAGTATATCTGTCTTGGAATTTTGAACGGCGTGTCACTATTCATAATTTTGCACCAAGCGCCATGAGTAAATATTCGTGTCTTTTCTTTGGAGTGTTCAATTAAATAGACGTGATAACTTTAATGAAATTAAAAAAAAAACAGAACGTTCTTATCGCCTATATTTTATTTTGAGGTTTAGAAAGAATATTTAATAAATTGTACAGATTGCATATTGTATCTAGCCCAGTAACACTAAAGCAGTGAAACAACACTTAAGTTTTAGTTTGACACAGCATTGCAACGTAACTACTACGTGACAATCCAAGTAGTCTTTTACATTTTATTTATCCTTATGTTAGAATCATTTCAGCAAACGCTCGGCTGCCTCCATAAACCCCGAATTGCGAAATGGCGGAGTTGACAGAGACAGCCGCCATTTTGGTCCCGCTTCAGATTTTCAAATATTAATATCTAGAGTTCAGGTTAATTAATATTCAAACAACTTATATAGTAATCATCAATCAAAGGGTCTCTATTACCATTCCAAAAATAAATAAAAAATATTGAAAAACAAAAAAGTTAGAAAATACGATTTTTTCAACTCGCTTCTCCTAACGACAGGAAGTACCGACGACGAACAAAGAGTCGCGTCCAGGATAGTATATATCACGATCTATAATCACTGAAAGTTTCACGTTGATATTTTTTACCGTTTTTGAGTTTAATCGTGGACAAAATGTCATTTTAATTTCAGAAAATTGTCCGTAACTTGGCACCGGAAGTGGGTTTCCAAATTTTCTCTCAGATATTATAAATTCATGTTACGACACATCTGTCCTGAAAATTTCATGTAATTTCATCCGGTAGTTTTCGAGAAATCGCGTGCACAAAATTAGAAAGTCAGAAAAATAAGAATAATAATAATAACTAGATACGATCTCGTTGCGAGCAACGAGAGGTCTTCCGTCCAATTCCGAAAAAACCCCGAAAATTCGAGCTGTAAAAGTGAAAAAAAATATTGCACACAAGGGGGATTGAATCCAAGTCGCGAGCATGAAAATCCAATTTGCTAAATATTACGCTATTCGGACCTCTGCTCTTCTTAATCTTCTTGTATAAACCTCTGTATATCAGTGCTTTTGTCTTAGAATTATGAAAGGCTAGTCACTATTCATAATTTCGCGCCAAACGCCACGAATTAAACTTCGCGCCTTGTTTTTGGAAAGTTCTACTTAATAGCTGTGATAGCTTCAATGAAATAAAAAAACATTCGTATAGCCTAAACTTCGACGATTAGAAAGTACATTTAACTCATTTTGTAAATTTCATATAGTAAGTAAGCAATTAACACTACAGCAGTGAAACGGCTATGAATTTTAAAATTTAAATTTCCTGTTTATCGCCAAAGTGAACTATCCCGATTAGTTAAACATTCATGAAGAGTTTGAAATGTTTCGCCGAAAAAAAATGGCTCCCCTAAGGAATTGTATACCATTTGTGCAATCATGGCTTTGCTATTCTTGAGAAGATTTTTAAAGAATTTTCCTATACATTTCTATGTAAAACTTTGGTCGGCCATTTTGGCCCCGCCCTACCCCTGGGGGTCATGATTTGAACAAACTTGAATCTACACTACCTGAGGATGCTTCCATATAAATATGATCAATTATGGCTTTGTTATTCTTGAGGAGAAGATTTTAAAAGAATTTTCCTATATATTTCTTTGCAAAACTTTGATCGGCAATTTTGGCCCCGCCCTACCCCTGGGAGTCATGATTTGAACAAAATTGAATCTACACTACCTGAGGATGCTTCCATATAAATATGATCAATTATGGCTTTGCTATTATTGAGAAGATTTTAAAGAATTTTCCTATATATTTCTATGTAAAACTTTGGTCGGCCATTTTGGCCCCGCCCTACCCCTGGGGGTCATGATTTTAACAAATTTGAATCTACACTACCTGAGGATGCTTCCATATAAATATGATCAATTATGGCTTTGCTATTATTGAGAAGAAGATTTTTAAAGAATTTTCCTATATATTTCTATGTAAAACTTTGGTCGGCCATTTTTGGCCCCGCCCTACCCCCGGGGGTCATGATTTGAATAAACTTGAATCTACACTGCCTGAGCATGCTTCCATATAAATATAATCAATTATGGCTTTGCTATTCTTGAGGATAAGATTTTTAAAGAATTTTCCTATATATTTCTATGTAAAACTTTGGTCGGCCATTTTGGCCCCGCCCTACCCCTGTGGGTCATGATTTGAACAAATTTGAATCTACACTACCTAAGCATGCTTCCATATAAATATGATCAATTATGGCTTTGCTATTCTTGAGAAGAAGATTTTTAAAGAATTTTCCTATATATATTTCTGTGTAAAACTTTGGTCGGCCATTTTTTGGCCCCGCCCTACACCTGGGGGTAATGTTTTGAACAAACTTGAATTTACACCACCTGAGGATGCTTCCGTATAAATATGATCAATTATGGCTTTGTTGTTCTTGAGGAGAAGATTTTTAAAGAAATTTCCTATATATTTCTATGTAAAACTTTGGTCGGCCATTTTGGCCCCGCCCTACCCCTGGGGGTCATGATTTGAACAAACTTGAATCTACACTACCTGAGGATGTTTCCCCATAAGTTTCATCTTTCCTGGCACAGTGGTTCTTGAGAAGAAGATTTTTAAAACATGTTACCAAATTTTCATTAATTCCCAATT